AGCAACTCACAACACGCATACATAAAGAGCAAGTCTGTGGAATCTGCACTGCACGAAGTGGTGGGATATATTGAGAGGAACATGGAAAACTCAAATTTTACGCTGGCCGCCTTCTTAGATATAGAGGGAGCCTTTAACAACGTTAAACTTGAATCCATAAACCACTCACTTAGGGAAGTCGGCATTCCTGATACTCTGACATATTGGATAAATAAAATGCTTAACAGCAGAATTATAAATTCAAGTGTGGGGGATACAAAAATCAGGAAAACAGTAACTAGAGGCACACCTCAAGGAGGGGTGCTTTCGCCGTTACTATGGCTGCTGGTAATTAATATCATTTTGAGGGAATTGGACGGGGAAGGTATCAAAGTTGTAGCTTACGCGGACGACGTGGTGAGCTTATGCAAAGGGCCTTACTGAAGCTGTCACGCTGGGCCAAGGCAAATGGTCTTGGTGTAAATCCAACGAAGACGGAACTGGTAATGTTTACTAGGAAGCGTAAGCTCGGCGTTTTTGTTCCACCAACATTGGATGGGGTGCAACTTCACCTATCTCCCGAAGCAAAGTACCTCGGCACAATCCTGGACTGTCAACTACGATGGAAAAGGAACGTTGAGGAGCGGGCGAAGAGAGCATGCAAGAACTCTATTGGGAAAAGCTGGGGGCTTAAACCATCGACTATACACTGGTTGTATAACACTGTGGTGAAGCCCATCTTGTCCTATGGCTCTCTTGTTTGGTGGAACTGTCTGAGCCTCAAGTCGACATCTAGTAAATTAGACAAGGTACAAAGAGCCGCCGCAATTTTAGTTACAGGAGCCAGAAAGGGTACGCCACAAGCAGCTCTGAACGCAATGCTGTACTTCAAGCCTTCGGGCCTAAGCATTAAGTGTCAGGCTGCGCGTAGCGCCCTATGGCTACACGAACAAATACTCTGGCGGAACTGTACCTTTGGGCATAGTAGTGTTCTAAATGAACCAGGTATAGCATTGGACCAACGCGCTAAACTAAGCGACTATATATCACCAATCCTTAGATTTGACGATGTAGATGTCGTTATCCCTAGTAGAGACGACTGGAAAAGAAGTAACCCTCCTCTGGACGGTCTGGCCTTCTATACAGACGGATCCAAGGTGGAAGAAGGTACTGAGGCAGGCGTCTACTGTGAAAGGTTAGGCCTTGAGTTGACCTACAAGCTGGATAGTAATTGTAGTGTTTTCCAAGCTGAAATCTTCGCGATCGTGAAGGCAGCGGAATTGATAAAAAACCTGGATGCTGAGGTCGTTGAACCGGTGACTATCTTTGTAGATAGTCAAGCGGCTCTTAAAGCCATCAAATCTTGCCACATCAAATCCGAAGCCGTCCTCAAGTGTAGAACAGCTCTGGAAGAACTAAACCATAGCTATCGGTTTGGTGGATACCAGGACATTGTGACATCTTGGGTAATGAAAGAGCGGACGAACTAGCTAGACGAGGATCTCAATCCACCGATCTAGAAACTGATGACTCACTTAAACCACTTAAACCACCCATATGTCTTTTCTATAGGAACTTTGAGGCATTCTTTGACGAAACAGCCCGCGAACTTTGGCACAACGAACCTAGGTGCAACGTGTCAAGATCAATCTGGCCGACTCTGTCTACCAAAAGAACGCACTCACTATTGAACCTGTACAAAGCTGAAATTAGAGTGATGACGGGAATCATCACTGGTCACTGCAACATCAGGGCCCTTACTAGTAAATGGGATCTTGACGCAACTGTTTACTGTAGACTCTGTGTTGACGAGGAGGAGACGGAGACAATTGAGCATCTCCTGTGTCACTGCCCACAGACAGGCGACACAGACTAATCGGTGCTCATATTCTACCGGGTCTCAGCTTCATCTTTTTTTTTTTTTTTTTTTTTTTTTTTTTTTTTTTGTTCGTACGTTACCACGCCTTACTTTCCCACCCTGCCGACCGAGGGGATCGCGTACACATCATAATCCGCATTATGATGGAAAATGAGAAGGGATAGAAAACCAGCTACAGAAATCTACTTCAACAGCCAGTTTGTTATTAAGTTTTATTATTCATTTAAAAATATAATTATATTAGATTTTATTAGGTCTATATTCATGCAAAAGTCTACGTTAGAATACACAGAATTGAAATCAATACACATTTTACTAAGTGGATCTCCCATAGAATAATTTGTGCGATGAAAATCTACGTATAATGTTTGATAATATCTACTTGATCGAAAAGGAACATTTATTCTAATGGATGAAATTAGGAAGTCTGAGGGTATATTACCGCTTAGTATTTTAATTACTATCATAGTGTTCAACATAATACGTCTACTTTTTAATGTTGGCAATCGAATTAATTTTAACCTGCTAGTGTAAGAAGGCAACACAAAGTCACTATTCCAATGTAAACCTCTCAGCGCAAAAATTAGAAATTGTTTCTGCACTGATTCAATTTTATCGGAATAAATTGTATATTGGGGATCCCAAACAACAGAACCATATTCTAATATGGGTCGCACAAGAGATGTAAAAAGTTGTTTTGTAATGTAGGGATCAGAGAATTCTTTAGCCCATCGTTTTATAAATCCTAAGACACCGTGGGCTTTGTTTACCATAGAAATAACATGATTATTAAAATTTAATTTTGGATCCATTAAAATACCAAGATCAACAAATGAATCAACAGTTGATAAAACAGTACCATTAATATTGTATTGCCTTGTTAAAGTAGAAGATCTGGAAAAACACATATGCTTACATTTGTTTAGGTTTAAATTCATGCAGTTTAATTCGCACCATTGAAAAAGGTTATTTAAATCATTTTGAAGTAAATCAGCTTGCTTCATGGAGTTATGTGTGATAAACAACTTGACATCGTCAGCATACATTAGCAATTAGGAGTGGATTATTGCATTTGGTAAATCATTTATAAATAGAAGAAAGAGGAGTGTGTAAAGGAACTATATAGGATTTCTTCCAGAAGGTCGGAAGATGACTATATTTCAGGGAATAATTAAACAATAGCGTTAAAGGGATAGCTAATGTATCTGAACAGTACTTTAGAATTATGCTAGGAATGCCATCCGGACCTGGACTTTTAATTGATCTCAAATTACGTAGATTTTTAGAAACATATTGACTTTGTAAAAAAGGCATAGATATTTGATCTATCGTCGATAATTTATAACTATATGTATCTTTATTTGGACAGGGTGAATATGAATATGTTGTAGCGAAAAAATTTGCAAAGCACTCTGAAATTTCAGAGTTTTTCTCAAATGTCTGATTATTGAATTTCAAGATGGTGGGCTTTGACGTAGCTTTTCTTTTTATATTAACAAAGTCATAAAAAGATTTAGGATTGGATTTGAAATTAAGTTTAATCTTGTTTAAATATAGATTGTAAAGTTTTCGGGACTCTGACGCATATTTAGACCTTGCGACAGCATATTTAGCATAATCTATAGAGGAGCCTGATTTTTTATATTTTTTAAAAAGTTTATTTTTATAATTTTTTTTAATTTTTTTTTCATCAACCGAACCTGCTCTAATCTACAGCATAATTAGAAACATAAAATGGTTAGGAGCACATAACATTGGCACGTAATGTTTTTTTCTGTATGACTCATAGGACCATCGACCTTTCACTCATTCTTCACCCCTTTAATCTACTACTCTTCTCTCCCCTACAGATCTGTCTTCTTGGTCTCTTCTCTTCACTGTATCTTTTCTTGTGGATGATCACAACGGACCTAACCGGTCTCAGAGTGTTGCAGTCACACATGTGACTGCACATCCCCAAACCTAACCTAACCTTAGCTCCGACTACAAGTCTTTTACAAAGTTATAAAAATCGTCTGAGAGTTTTCGACAATGAACACAGCACCAACGGACACCAACATTATCTCTAATTAAAAAATAAATAAAAAAATGTTACAACAACTATATAAGCTAATGTAACAATGGAACAAATTGGGAATGGAAACAAAATGCCAATTAGAATTTAAAAAAATATTAAATTTCACAATTCCAATTGGATCAAAATGCACAAAAATTATTTCACTACACTTTTAAACACTGTTACCACACAAACACAGATTACATTTGTTCCGTTCCAGAACCTAAAAGATTCTACTCATTTTACATGTTTTGCAACTTTTTACTCGAAAACCGTTCCTCAACCCACAAAACTGGTAAAACATTGACTTAAATTTAAGAGAGCACAAAACAAAATGGCGTTCTCTTTGTAAACTTTTTACTCGAGAAATTTGGTCGAGTAAAAATGGTAAACAGGAATGCCTACTTCTGATTGCCTGTTATGTTGATTTTGAAGTATTGCCGTCTAATTTTGGCATATTTACTAGATTTGCGTTCCCGAACTTTTCAAATTATTTTGTACACTGAGAGCAATTTTGAAATGTTTCCCTTTTACTAGATTTACTATTAAAAAAGTACTGGAACAGACAAATTGTTAGAAATTAAATATTTTTTAAACGAGCACCACAAAATTAGTGAACATTCACGACAGGGTTGCCAAGCTAATTATATTTTGTTAAAATTTCTCCATTTTTTTAAACCAAACCTTATTCATCCAGAAAGTTCCTGTGATACGCCAAATGAAGAATTTCGCAATTTACACATTGTTCGTCATTTTAACTCATCAAAATTTAATCAACAAAAACGCCTTACTGTTAAACATATTACCCAAACATGCAGACCATTGGCTCAGCGACAATGCTGCTTTTTACAAGCCCAAGGTTTCAACATGCTTCGCATTATAAACAACCAACATATTGATAGTATATTATAGTACATCAAATATAATGCCATCGCTCTTTAATGAATTTGTTTTTCTCTCAAATATCCTTGAATAGCATTGTATATATATATATATAATAGCTGATGACCATAGTATTTAATGTTTTTACTGTATATATAATATTCTTATATATACTATAAATTTACAATATAAATAAATACATACCTATTGATTGAATTATTGCTGCTAACATAAGATCCCGGCTCGGAGGCTTCAGATATTTGTCCATAATATGCTGTTTCAACAAAATAAGGAGGATTATCGTTTACATCTAAAACATGTATAATTATGTTTTGATACGAAGATGCGGATGCCATATTTGTTCCTTTAATAGTCAAATTAAATTGTCTGAAAATAAAAATTACGCCAATAAAATAAAAAATATAATATAATAAAAACTGCAGAATTTCTTACTTTATCTGTTCATAGTCGATTTTTAAATTGACTAATATAACTCCGGTAGATGGGTTTATATAAAAATACCCTTCATCGTTGCCATCAACAATGTTATAAAACACCGAAGACGATGATCTGGCTTCTATGTGTGCTACAAATGAACCAATTTTGAGATTTTCAAAAATTTCAATTTCATTTTCCGCAAGAGTAAATCTTGGAGGGTCGTTGTCTGCCATTACAACAATTATATGAACAGGAATCTGTGATGATAAAGGTGGATTTCCACAGTCCGAAGCCTTAACTTGAAGCATGTACTCTTGCATATGTATTATATCCAAATTTTGTGATAAGTAGACAGTTCCAACCATTTTATCTATTTCAAATATATTTCCAACATTTCCACTTATAATGGAATACATAATTTCACCATTTTTTCCGCTATCCCTATCCGTTGCGCTTACATGAATCACTTTTGAACCCACGACTGCGCTTTCTGGAATTTTACTTTGCAGCATTTTACTTGTAAATTCTGGACTATGGTCATTATGATCGTAAATACTGACTATTATCTTTGCATAGTTTCGCTTGGCTGGTGTTCCTTGGTCCTTTGCAATAACTATTAATTCGTGAAGTTTATTTCTTTCATAATCCAACTTTTGAGTCACAACAACATTTCCTGTAACAGAATCAATGCGAAAAAACTCTAAGGATGATGGATCTTTCGATCCATGTAACGTATAAAATATTTTTTTGTCTTCGTCTTTATCAGATGCATGTAGTTGCAATATTATGGTTTCTTCTTTTATACCCTCAGATATGTTTATACGGTAAATATCTTTGGTAAACTGGGGTCGGTTATCATTCGTATCGACGACTTTAATAAATAATTGTGTTTCTACAATATTGGTTCCATCACTGACTGTTATAGTTAAATTGTAAAAATTTTTAGTTTCCCAATCTAGGGATTTAGAAAGAAGTACATTTCCATTATCATGGCCAATATAAAATGCATTGTTGTCGTTCCCTCCTGAAAATACAAAGAATTATATGAATTTAGGGGATTAACATGTGAAAGTGTGTTAAACCATTTCTAAAAAGTATAATTTACATGAACAAAAAGTTATAAGGTTGAATCCGATAGTATTTGTAAATTCAATAAAGCATATATTAATTATTCCCTAATATTTACAAGTAAAAAATGTAAAAAGAAGACGGTTAGAATAATTAATGAACTGGTCGTTATTGTCAGTACAGATAAGTACACTTAATAGGGTAAAAAAATATTTTGCACATCTTAATATCCCACTATTCGCCTTATAACGTGTTTTCCAGATGAAAATAAATCGTTTTATAATTAAAATCAAGGGTTATAAAGGGTGTATAATAAATTGTTAGAGTATGTTAGGGTCTTCACTTCAAATACTATTTTCAATGAACTTATTCTCAATTAGTCTCACACGTGCCATTTTTTATATATGAACAACTCTAATATTCGATATCAGGCATTGACATTTTTTCTATAAGAATAATATTGTTTTGGTATTTTTTTTTTATTCAAATAAAATTTTTCACAAACTGACAAAATTATAATGTCAATTATTTCTTTCTATTTGTATTTCAAAACACATGCATATGTATGTACATATTTTGTATTTTATGTATTTCAAAATATATCCTCAACGTTCCAAAATCTTCGGATGATGCGCAATTGCAGCCATCTTTCTGAAACAAATTTGAAAGTAGCTACATGCTACTAACATACATACAAACATATATTCTTTCAGAAGTATGTTTATTTTTGATGATATTACACCGCATCCACGCGAATTTTTAGGAGTTTATCTAACCTATGTTACTTCCAGCGCTTGACGTACTCTTGGTAAAACTTGTTCAGTGGTTCTTAAGTCCACAAACAATATGCTTTCGATTTTCTATATACATATGTACATATGTATAGATAGAAATGCAATGAGGAGTACATTTTCCTCTTAAATGGTTTATGCGTACTTACGCCCACGTTACTCAGACATATTTTGAAGTCGGTATCTGTAACCTTTCTTAAGATATACACGAATTACATGTTCATAATTTCTGAGGCATGAGTACCTTCGATGCTATAACTCCGCATACACGCCGAATCTTAGAGGTTTATATAACCTATGTTATTCTCAGGACATGTCATGATATTCTGTAAAAGTCTCAGTAAAATCTGTCCAGCGGTTTTTGAGTCTACAAACGAAATGTTTTCTGTTTTCAATATGCTGATTTTGAAAATGCAGCAGAAATTGTATTTTCCGTTGATCATACCAAGCTCGTTTTTGTATAGATGGTGTGTATTTACACTTACGTTATTCACACAAATTTTGAAGACGGTATCTGTAACCGTTCTTAACCCTACGGTCAATAACCGGGTACATTTGTACCTTTTTTTGAATAAAAATGCTGTAAATTTTTTAATAATGGAGATATTTGGATCAAATTTTGAGGAATCATTCTTGAGGTATTTTCACACATAATCGAAGAAAAAAATTATAAATATTTTCCATATATGTATATAATTGTTTAAATTTTTTAAAGTTATTACCTACGTAGATCAATAACCGTGGTACATTTGTACCCATCCAAATATAGCTCTGTAACTCATTAAAAAATTGGACTATCGTGAAGTTTTTTGTTTTAAATTAGTCTATACGTATCTGATCTAGATGTAGGAACTCAAATTTATATATACATTAAAATAATATTTACTTAAATCCATGCTTAAATGATAATCTATCTAAAACAATCATAGTAAATCCGTTATAGCTTTCGAATGGGTTAAGCTTTTTTAGTTATTTTTTTATTGGGATCTTATTTAGGTGTTCCTCAACCCCTCTGCAAATTGTTGTGGCCCTAGACAACATGGGGCCATCAGGGTGACTCGTGGAAGTCAGAAACTACCCTGGTTTTCCCTTGCTCTAAAGGGACAAAAACAATGATTATTGTCCGTAATTTTCCAATTATTCTTCATATTGGGCCTGAAACTTTTTCTATAATCGAATTAGTCTGGTTTATTACAATCCTAAATTGGCGTACATATATAAAATATAATTAAATAACGTTTTAAAGTATTAAATAATGTTAAAAATGCGCCAATCACAATCTCCAAACTCATAAAATGTGAATAATTGACAATAATAATTGTTTTAGTCCATGTATACCAAAGGAAAACCAGGGTAGTTTCTGACTTCCACGAGTCGCCCTGATGGCCCCATGTTGTCTAGGGCCACAAAAATTTGCAGAGGGATTGAGGAACACCTAGATAAGATCCCAATAAAAAAATAACTAAAAAAGCTTAACCCATTCGAAAGCTATAACGGATTTACTATGATTGTTTTAGATAGATTATCATTTAAGCATGGATTTAAGTAAATATTATTTTAATGTATATATAAATTTGAGTTCCTACATCTAGATCAGATCCGTATAGACTAATTTAAAACAAAAAACTTCACGATAGTCCAATTTTTTAATGAGTTACAGAGCTATATTTGGATGGGTACAAATGTACCACGGTTATTGATCTACGTAGGTAATAACTTTAAAAAATTTAAAAAATTATAATTTAAAAATTATAAAAATAACTAAAAAAGCTTAACCAATTCGAAAGCTATAAGGAATTTACTATGATTGTTTTAGATAGATTATCATTTAAGCATGGATTTAGGTATATATTTTTTTAATGTATATATAATTTTGAGTTCCTACATCTAGATCAGATCCGTATAGACTAATTTCAAACAAAAATCCTCACGATAGGCCAATTTTTTAATGAGTTACAGAGCTATCTTTGGATGGGTACAAATGTACCACGGTTATTGATCTACGTATACTTTTTTGGTTATTGACCGTAGGGTTAAGATATACGCATATTACATGTTCCGAAATTTTGAGGTTTGTTTACTATTGACGCTATAACTCTGCATCCACGCGGATTTTTAGAAGTTTAGCTAGCCTATGTTACTTTCAGGGCATGTCATGACATACAGTGTAAATATCATTAACATCTGTTCAGCGGTTTTAGCGTCTATCGCACAGTGGGAAAAAATACCGATCTAGCGCGCAGAAAATAAAAAAATGAAATTGAAGGAAACTTTAAAACATGAATGCAGTTTTAAAGTAGAGTGTTGAGATTTGTATTTGTTTACTGTGTGTCTATAGATTTGAGCGCAGTTGTCTGTGTCGGTTTTATAATTGAGTCGAATGTCAAGTGGAGTGTTGATTATGTGCAACATCTCAAGAGTAAACCTTTTTGGATAATTACTTTCTTGAGTTAGAATTTTTATGTCATTAAAATCTGGGGTATGTCCTGTTTTTGTGTAGTGTGCTGCAAGGGCTGTTTTTGCTCTATGGGTTTGTACAGAGCTTTTTGATCCGATTTATGTGCGGATATTCTCGTCTTTAATTTTGTCTTAGTAGTGCCAACATATACCTTTTGGCATACGTTGGACTTGTCTCCCTTACATTTAATGCGGTATACTACGTTGGATTTCTCCTCGTCTTGTATTTTACTTTTTAATTTGCTGAAAAGATTATTCAGCGTGTTTGTAGTTTTAAATGCCAGCTCAAATTTTGTGTTGTCGTAAATGTTAGAATGTTTTAATCTTTCTGAAAACCCACGTGTATATGTCATAGTTTTGTAAATTTTTTAATAGAACGCTAGAACGGAATACCGGTACATTTAAAATAGAAATGTTTTCCAATGTTAAAAATGGTATTTTTTAGCTATAAAATTGCGATGGTCGTGTGCATTCTGTGAATATATTATTATAAGATTTTGTCCATTTTTGATATATAGTATAGGTATTTAATTAAATGGTATATATATAACCCATAAGTTATTTTAATTTAGGTGTTTCGGGCTAAATATATGTAAGGTCCGTTTTTTTTTTTTAAATTCCTTCAATTAAAATAGGGGTTTAGTATGGAGTGCAGTCGAGTTCAGCGTTGATTTTTGTTTTATTTTTCTTGTGTGTCTGTCTAGAACATCACACTAAATTTTTTCCTGCGACTTCCTGCGATTCTCGGATTTATAACAATTTTTTGAAAAAATGCCAATTTGGTGTAGGAAGCTTTGTTAAGGTTTTGTTCAAATAACATTAAAAATTTGTGAATTTTTGTATATAATTCATCAAATATGACTTGGAATAGATCACAGCATAGCAGATAAAAATAACAAGTTCAAAATGTCCATCCTAAGGTTCCAGAGTACTGGGTTCCAGAGTCATTGGTGTAACATTCATATATACACTGTTTTACCTATATTTATGATTTTCGTGGAGGTGGAGTTTATGGACTTTTATTACACCTGTTATGGGGTTTCCAATGACTGACATGACTTCGGATGACTTTGTCGTACGAATTTCGTTAGGGTCGGATACAGGTATCAGTTACCTATGAATGCAAAAATACATATTACATAGATTTTTCTACCCCTGAATGAAAAATCCGCATTAAACAAATGTTCATTCATAGATTTTTCTCATTCAATAAGTGTTAAAGAACGGGATTGTACAAGTTATAAACAAGTGAATAGTGATTTATTTTAGTTCTTAAACAAGTGAAGTGGCAAAATGTCAATTTTGTTCAGAGAGCTCTTTGGCTAAAATCTAAAAATGGTTCTGATGTAAAAGAATATGTTTTAAATAGACTTGGAGTTAATGCTACCGATTATGCAAACGCTAAAGGGATTTGTCGAACAGTTACCACGCTATGTACGCGATTTAAAACGAAATGGATGGCCGCCAGAAGGAACAAACAACAAATGGAGCGTCAGCATGGAAATTGACTGATATAATTAAATGTGCAGCTTTGCCCATAGGAATGTTGTCTGAAGAAGCCATGGAATCCAGAAATAAGGACTTTCGGAAATACAGGGAACTGTACACCAGACAAATTAGTTGTGAGGAAACAATGAGGGATCTTTTCAATAGGTTGCTATTTTCTTCTGATCCAAAAATATCAAGTTTGTCCCGTAGTACATCTCTT